CGTATTCCTCTAGCTAATCTCTGAATACTTGGATGTTTTCTCTCAATTTCTTATATAATTAACAAGACAAAGTGCCGCGAAGCGGCACCTTGGTCTGGCCATGTGTGGAGCGGGATGTGCGTTAAAATTTGCGATTATTTCTTTGCCATACGTTGTGTCTCACAAATGCTTGCTGATCATGGGAACTCCATCAAGTGAAGGCTAAATGAGTCTTACATGTTTGTTGCTCATAGCGTATACGACCTCTTAGGAGCGTAATAATTTCGCTTATCGAAATGTAAAGCTGTCGCAAGAAATGACGTAGGATGTAGTTTTGTCAGTGCTTGCTGTTGGAGTTGGTGACGTTAAAGGCAGTGTCCGGGCAAAGAGTCGATTTTGAGATTGTGTGCTTACTGGGGTCGCTATGCTGAATTCGAAAATCCACACGGGAAGCGCGAAAGCGGCCAAGAAGGGCTTTAACGTAGGCGTGAAATCAAAAAGGGGCAGGGTCTTCCCCACGGTGAATTCATGGTCCCAACTTCCGGAGCGATCTTCTCGCTTCCGATTTCAGATCATGCGTTCGGTCTGTGGAGCTGTCAGGACGGTTAGCGGTTAAAAAGATCGCTCCGGAAGCTGGGACCGTGAATTCACCGTGGGGAGGACCTCGCCCACTTTTAATTTCACTGCTGTGTTAGAAACCTATTTGCAGTTTTCGCGTTTCCCAGTATGGATTTTCGGATTCAGCATGGCGAATAGGCCCGGGTATGCACAAAATCTCAAAATCAACTTTTTGCCCGGACACTGCCTTTGAGGGCAGCCGCTCGACAGATCGGCGACTTGTATTCGTCGTTCTCGGTTTCCCTGAGTGAGCGAACTCCAAAACGTGCTTTGCAGCTTCAAAATATATCAATAACTCGCTTTTCCAGATGTAAAAAAGGGCGGGCGGAAGACGAAAAAGGCCGTCTTCTAGGAAGCGATTGGCTTGTATAGCCCGGTTGGGTAGAGAAATCGTACCGATTTCGACGGCAATTAGAGTATGGTTCCAGTATACTGTAGTTCCAGTATACTGTAGTCAACCGTTCTACGAACGGACGGGCTCTCGCTATCCGCCCCAACAGCACTTTCCACGTCCGAAAAAGCAAGTTATTGATATCTTCAAAAGCTGCAAAGCACAGTTTAAGACTCAGCTCATCCAAGGGAGCCAAGAACGACGAATATCCCAAGGTTGTCATTCTGCCCAGCCACTGCTTTTGAGTTGTAGTGTCTGAAAGGCAGAACCTATGCGCAGCTGACATGAATCAAAAGGATAGTTTTTGGCGACCAAACCTGGAGGGAAATAGAGAGTTCCTTACCAGATTGCACGTAAAGTCCCTCCCCCCCCCCTTCCGTTCCCCTACCTACCGTTCCCTATCTCGAAGCTTATTAAGCAGAACTGTCTTTTTCATTTCGAAAGGCTTTCCTAATAAAGTGCCCACAATTTTTGAGTATTCTTCGATCAAAAATATCCACAAAAGCCTAACGAGGTGACCTGACCCTCCAACTTTTCTTATTTTGTCACTTATTTCTCCCATATGGTTTTCAAACACATATGAACATTCTGCTGGCCTTAAGCTTCTCTCAGAAAAATACTCAAGGATTCATTATCGCTAGTTTTTGGCACATTGAATCCTTATCGTTACCTCTTCTCAGCACCTCTTTCCCTCTCTGAAAGGCATATATTCGTGTGTCTACCCTTTTCTCAGAAAAACTTCGGTAGAGTGCCCACAGTCCTTTCTAACGCTTTTCTTCTGATTCGGAATTTGCGAAAATCTTATCACAATCTTTACCCTACCCTTGAAGTCTCAGGTCGAATACGTCTCAAAAATGCATGCATACGTAGCCTGTGGCCAAACCAAAACCGTTAAGAATAGTTTCCTCGATCTTTTTTTCTTCGAAGAAAAACGCTCCGGATTCACTCCTACTGACAAATTCTTCAGCATCGAAGCTTTTGTGCTAAATCTCCAAACTGTGATCTCTGAAATTTGCAAGCTAAGCCCCAAAATTCCCTTTTGCAGGCGGTTTTAATGATGTTACCATCAACTAGGTTCAGCTACTTGATGATTGCACTTTGTTAGTTTTGGCTGTTGATCGACATCGTCTAAGACAGGGGCATCTTGCATGAGTCATCAGCTCGGTACGCCTGCACGGCGCAAAACGACAAACGTGTTGACGTCTCGTCGCTTCAGGGAAGGGGGGGGGGGGTGTTACAGAATGACCAATGCGCTTTATTATACAGGGGATATTATTTGCTCTTGACTTTCGAGGAGAGCAGATTGTAAAATGAGTAGGACTCACTGAAGTGTATACATCAGAAAATTTGCCGATGAGGCCCTAATTAATTAGTTGTACTTTTTTTTCGCGCATAACGCCTACCACAGCGAAAGGAGTTGGGAGAGTGGGACTACGTCAAGCATTTATTAATGCAGAATGCAGAATTAATGCAGGTCTTCCACATCTGTTCTCAAAGTGCTGGTTCAAAACAAAATTTTGTTGTCTTAAAAAACTATGCATACCTTGTGAAAGCACTCTTCTTTTAGTTTCTTAGGCATGATTTCGTTTCAACAGGAGTGGGTTTATTTCAAAATTACGTGCTCTTGAAATCAAGAAACTAGATCTTGAAATTTTATTCTTTTACAGTCTTTGCCCTAAATCCACCGCGAAAATCGGAATATTTTTTTGGCAAGCTAGAGTGATGTTTTATGGATCTGCGCTACAAAATGCACATTGAAGCAATTTTTTGAAAATTTTATAAACTAAGTAAAAAATTCCATCTCAGTTCCAAGCAACCTCTGCTATCATTCTGCGGCTTATAAAAATCCTAAGCGGAGCAATTGCAGAGATTTCGCCGTATGCAGAAAGAATAGACAAAGAAGATTTGACAGCAAAAAAAACGGATGCTGCTATTCTCTTTGGCAGCGAGAAATTCCTAAAACAGCAGAAAATCACTTTTTCGATTTTCGAGAGCAATTGAGGAAAATGCGGTCTGAGGTTGCAAATTGAGGTCTCAGGTTGCATTCATGTCTTGGTCATGCAAGAAAGACGGAATTTGTGAAGAGCCAGTTGCCGCTTGAAAATCGGTAAAAATAGGTAAATTCAAAGAAAAGCAGCTCTTTGCAGCTCAAAGCAGCTGAGATACGCCTGGAAAAAGTGAGCGTAACCAGCTGCAAGATCTAATGCAGCGCTGCTCAAAAATGAGTCGCTAGATATGGATACGACCTTTTGCATTAGCTGCTGTAGTGTGAAGCAGCAGCGTCACTTCACTGCAATCGATACGCATTTGATGCGTTGCTGCCACCGTTATTTATAGACATTCACCGGCAGGTAAGTATCAAGCCTAACGCTACACAATGCTATACACCAGCAACCATATACACAATGAGTGAAGTTTCTATTACATTGTGCATGAGTTTTGGTCTCTAAAAAAATCTTTTCCAAATAAACTCTTGCCAGTCTTTGGACTTTGAAATTTTTTCAATGAAGCTACAACAACGTAGCTAGCGCGCTCTAAGGCCCTACATCCCTGCTGGGGAGGAGAGGGAATCTGAGAGGGGATGCGTTCATTTACCGTTACTCTAGATTTCCTTCTTCATTCTCCATCTTGCTTATGAAGTTTCTCAAACCCTTATTCTCGCGCATAACCGACGTCAGGTTACTGTCACAAATGATCAATTTTTTGCCACTTTGTGTGATCCCTTGGGTACCCTCGGGGATCCCCAAAGAACCTCCTCTCAATTCCGAAGTGATTTTTCTCGAGAAGTCAATAAAACGCTTAATCGTACTGAGGATATACCAAGATTTACTACGGCACTGCTCAGCATATTTTCGACAGGAGAAGGAATCTGAAGATTGTGAATTTTTTGATAATCCCTAGCTGGCGAGCCGTGGTTCAATGAAGATTTCGATATCCTGAGATTTCGTTTATTTCTACTATAAACACCTTTAGCAGTGCCGTAGTATATCCACAGTACATTTTGCAGTATTTTCACTGACATCTCGAAAGATATTTGACTTTGAAAATGAGAAGTGATCTTCTGGGAGATAGATCCCCCTGGTGATCGCAATGAACCATACAGAGTGGCAAAGAACCAATTTTGTAAGACAGTAGCCAGGCATCCGTCATGCGCAGGTGAAGAAGAAATATCTAGAGTAGCGAGATATGACGCATCCCCTTTTAGATCCTCTCCCTCGCCAGCGGGGATGTACATGTATATGGGCCTAAATTGCCAGAGGTTTGCAAATTGCGGTAGTTTTTAATGGAATCGAATTGACTGTTTCTGTAAAAAGTTGTAGTAACCCAAACGTACAACTTGGAAAACCTGCATCAATTCCGTAACAACCTAATATATGTTTTTTGCTGATAAGGTCTTCATTGATCAGCTTGTACTTTTCGCGCATAACGCCTACCCACAGAAAAGAGTTTTTCGTTATATTTCAAAGAACAGCAGTTTCCATAATTTGAGAATGTTTTAGGGCAGAATGGTACAATGAAGTTTAGAAATTTACATAATGATTGTACCCATTAATTAATTGAATTTGGTTTTTTTAGTTTTTGTTACGTATTGAACTTGTTAATCAAACATAAATCGATGATGTTTTAGAAAGTTTACAGGACTCTATTCGTGAAGCACAGCAGACCATGCAAAAGTGTATGTTCCTACACAAAAAGGATGCTTCGAATTTGGATTCATAGGTGCTGGTTATGATAGCTTAAGCTAATAGTTTTTACAAATATAGCGAATAGCACAGATACGTAATAGGGAACTAACAAAAGGATCTCGATTAATGAATTGTTTGAAAGTAGGCGCGGTGGTGTTTTTGCAAGAGTGCCTCGATTATAAAAGACTTCATTAAAACACTCTTTTGTTCGAATTGTGATCTTTTGATGCAGCGGAAAAAAATATATAGGGCTCAACCACTGAAAGAGCGTCAACTTTCCATCATTGCCGTGCTCTGGCTGTTGCGTAATGTGTGAGCATTTCAGAATGAAAGTTCTACTTGTTTTTGCCACATGCCTGACCACAGCTGTATGCAGCATTGTAGCCGGTGTTCCAGACTGCCGTGGTAAGTTGAGAATTAAGTTGTATGATGTTTGAGTAGATGGAAGCCATATGATTAAGAGATGATTAATTGTCGTTGAAACTTGTTCAATGTTAGCCCTTTGCTGGATGCCTATTTGATTGTTGAGACCAATAAGCGAATATAGTAAGTTCAAGTAGATCCACAAAGATGCTGTTTGCTGTTTAATTTGCATCTGCTTAGCAAGACAGTTCGTATTCTAGGCTTATGACCAGGGTCAAGCAAGAGGTGTGGCACACGATCGCTGGTTACGATACCCCTCCCCCACCTCTTAGCGGTCTCAATAAGACCCCCTGAACTATATACCTAAGATAGCATTACTTGAAAACTCTGTCAAACATAACGGGCAACATACCATGAATAGGTAGACAATGTTTCAGCGAATCCTGAAGTTTCAAGATACTGGGTTCACCTAAGTGAAATCGTCATTTTCCAGCATAATTAACTTTGTTTTAAAGGTGAAGTAGCTAGCTATTTTTGCACTCATGACAAAGCACTGCTCCTTCCTTGGCCACTTCAGAAATCTCGCTTCAAAAGACCTTCTAACTTTGGAATGGGAAGCCAACCAAAATCTTGTTTTTCCTATTTTTCGCTTTTGATGGCTTGCTTTCCCCAAATATCACTCAGAGCTAAGAATACGAATCAGGATCAAAACTCTTATGAAATCTGCGGCCTAGGCTATCGATTCATATGAATAACGTTCGCTAAAAATGTTTTTGATGTAGTCGCTAAAAATGCTTTTTGATGTAGTTAATGGGGTGTGGCACCACCCTTAAAAGCTGTGGCTGCCACATTAACTTACCTTCAAACAGATCAAATAGCTGCGTTTTTTATATCGTTGTTACTGCTTAACCTTCTTCTTTACATAGCAGAAATTTCATCTGAAAACTTTTCTTCAAGAGCAGGATATAATCGTTTTTTCTACCTGTGCAGATGTAAAATACTGATAAAATCCTGCGAAATATTGGGGTAGTAACATGCTAGGTCTGTGCTACTCTATGAATTGCAAGGGCAGGCGACAAGAATGTACATATTTTATAGCTCAACCTCGTAATCTACATCAAAGTGATTTGAGCCTGATTGGTCTTCTCTAGCCTGAGATATTAAAAACGAAAAATGGAACAAACGAAATTTTAGCTTGCTCTTAATTCCTTAATTTTGAGGTCATTTGAAGTAGGATTCCTAATGTGAGCAAAGAAATGATAGTTGTTTGTATTAAGCGCAAAAAGAAGTAGTCAACTTACCTTTGAAACAAAGTAACATGTTTGAAAACGAGCATCTCACCCTAGGTGGTCCTGTATTTGGAAACCTCAGAATTCGCTGAAACTTGGACCACAGGGGGTTATTTTACTTGCAGATCAGAAAACGATGCTCTTATGCTTTATAGATCTTTAATTATGCTTATTGTACCTAAACGATAATGGGTCAAACATTAATGTGCTAGTATTTTAACACTGTCAACGAATATCATGTTATGGGAATAGCGGACGCCTTGATAACGACCCCCCCCACTCCCTGATTCCTCAATACGAACTCTCAGGTTTGGCATGCCAAACCCCACGCTTGACCCTGGTTCTGACGAGTAGAATTTGAGACGACAAGATTTTTCCGTTCATCAGCCCCTCCATCTCCATTGGAAAGGGGCCTACGGCTACTTCTTGGCGCTCTATACTCTTTAGAAGAAGTACAATTAAAGGATTTGTGCTGTGCGCTGCTTAACACCTTTGCGCGGAGATGTCCGCAGAAAAATTCAAGAATACTGAGATTGGAGTATAAAGAACGTGCTGTAAATCAAAAGATTCGCCTTGATGAGCTGCACAATGCTTTTTTCTGATTCGGAATGAACTGATTCCGAAGGAAGTAACAGCGAGTAGAATTTGGAAACGCGTGATTTTTCCAGGATTCACCTACGCTTTTATCTTTTTTGGAAAAAAGACTGCGGTTATCGAACAGTACTTACTAGAATCTTTTATGTTGGACTAGCTGGCTTTGCCGGTCCAACCTAAGTCACCATTTAGGAGGATGGCCAAACCACACTTTGTCTCTTCTCCCTCCTTTTTCGGTTCGGCCATACCCTTCTTTGCAGTCTACTGCACTCCCCCTTACCCTCCTGGCTGAGCTTACCTCAGAGTGAATGATTGGAGTAACTGCATCTTCTACACTACAGATTGAAAATAAACTTTACTGCACTGTCTACACCAGTGCATGGGGTTTGATAGTGGCTTATAAGCTTCATTTTTATTGCAAAGTGCCAAAAATCAATAAATCAATAGCATCATCCAGCGAATCGCTTCAAAAAGTAGTCTAAAACCATCTACGGGGTCGAAAACATGTGTGCAAAGTTTCAGCTCAATCGGTTCACGCACAAAGAAGTCTATAAAGAACATACGGTCAAGATTTGCACAAATTTTGACTTTTATGTGTATAGATGGATAAGCGCTGCGTTCCATCCTATGCGAACGGAAATTTGCAGAAAAATTTGAGAAAACTGGAAACGGAATATCGAGGGCATGCTGTACACCAAAAGATTTGCCTTGATGAGCTGAACACAATACTGTTTCCAGATTTAGATTATATTCATTCCGAAGAAAGCTATGGTGCTGCTAGTTTGCGTGATTCCCATTGTTCAGTGGAATTCCCGTTATTTCGCGAAATTCTTGGAATGAGGCGGGATTCCGGGAAAGTCGCGGACTTTCGTGGAATTCCCGGATCTCCGCGACGTTCAATTTTGCAGATTCGGTGAGCGGTTTGATTTCAGAACAAATCCATCAGAGTGACTCTATACCATGCTCCTACAGTATCCCTACTAAGTATCATCAGCAGCAAACCAATGGCAATATTGTTGAGCGAAAACCTACTGATAACAATATAGAGTGTCCCAAAAAGATGTGCACACTGTTTGATCGTTAATAACTCTTTTGCTTTCATGTCTTTTGCCAGCTTAAAGTATTATTCTGTAGAGCTAGGTTCAACTTAGATTTACAGTGTAGAGCGAATCACCAATCACTCTTCATTACTGTAGGATTACGGAGTGAAGTCTTAGCATACAGCGTCACTACGAAATAGGCCTTTTGATGAAACAATTTCAAAAAAATCTGAAAATTTGGGTAGCAAAGTTTTCAGGCATCCTGATTTCCCTACACAACTTTTCACAAGTTTTTCGAGCTTTCTTGATGGCGTAATCACATTTCTGACAAACATTGGAAAAATAGTTGTCCCTAAATTTGAAATAACTCATGAAAGATGCATTACACTGAAGTGCAAACTTCATATTCAGGATCAACGACTATGATTATCTCACCTCAAGTGTTTCTGACTTGTTTTTAAGGCAAAATACCGCTGCAATGGCTTAAAATCCTCTTCGGAGTTCCTACCGTAATCGTACGTAATGAAGTGAATTGATAATTCGCTCCATACTGTAAATCTAACTTAGATTAGACCTCGCTCTAAAGAATAGTACCTCAAGCTCGGCAAAAGACATCAAATCTAGAGAGTTATTAACGACCAAACATTGTGCACATCTTTTTGGGACACCCTGTATACCTACCTATCCCGACAGATTGTGGTATATCTGTATACCGGATGATGCGTCTCGCCAAGCTGAGTCAAACTGTGTCCTTGAAATCAGAGTACGTCTATTCTGAAGCGAGATATGGCGATGTTTCGCGGATTCCGGTGCACTCCGCTGCTCTCCGTCGCACACCACCGCGCTCCGGCGCACTGCAGCGCAGTGCGGCGACTTTTTTTGATGAATTTTGAGCGGTATTGTACTCAAAAAACTCCTTGGATCTTCGCAGTTATTTTTTATTCCAAAGGTAGTATCTATCAGATGATGCCAAGCTGAAGAGGCTAAGAATTTGCAAAACAAGTTACACACCTTAGAAATGTGTCTCGTAGAAGAAGCGATATTTTCGATGATAGTTTTTTACTAGTGAAGCAGTTCATAAAAACCAATGCGCCGCATCTGCTCGGCCCTAATTTGTAGGACATAGAAGAAGGAAAAATGTTACATGAACGTTTTCGCCGATGGGAAGATGGTTTGGGTAGGGATAAGCGCCACTGAGATGACGCCTCTAATTTTCGTCAGTGGGAATGTGAAGATAAATGCGAAGACTTATCAGGAAAAAGTGCTAGCAAAAGCTGTGATACCATGGGACCGAAGAAAGGCAAAAAGGGTGCTTCAGTAAAACCGTGCGTAGCGAAGACTTCTGCCGCCAAGATGCTCATGTGCCAGAATAACGAAAAAACAATCCCTCCCCCCCCCCTCCTCAATGGTCTCGATCTCAATCCACTTGACTTTGATGCTTGAGGTTACGCAAAGGAGTAGCTAATTGTAAAAAGCAAAAAAAATTGACATTGTAAATGGCTTTTGTACAGAACCACAATAGCATAGGACGATTTGATCAAGAGTATCTACCTGCGGCGCGCCGTCACTTTAATGAGTCCCCAAATGAAGGCTTGTGTGGAAGCCAAATGTTTTTAGAAATTATGTTGGCCTCCTATGTTTTCTTCCTTTTCGAATCATTCGCTACTTCAAGAATTGACAGGGACATTTGTCGCTCAATCAATCATCGTTTGTCAAAACATAATGTTCACAAAAACGTGTTTGTACGGAATTCTTTTTTAATGCATGATTGGACGTGAGCTACATCTCAAATGCGTTGCAAGCAAAATTCTGGAAGGATGCATGTGGTAGACATTAATTATACAATCACGCAACAAGAACCCACGTTCATATTTCTAAACGTACATTTGTTGCCTCTTCTAAACTCGCCCTCAATAATTATACAAAAGTTGGAAGATATTTGAGAGCTAAGTGGTGTGCAGCTTGCACACATACACATTCCCAAAATTGTTTGACACTGAGCTAGGTTACGCAGCAACAATCACAATCAGATAAAAGAGTTTCGCTTTTGTCCGAACTCTTTCCTGCATCAATACAGCAGGCGATTTTAGCTTGCAATACGCGACAGGTACAATTGTGCACGTGTATAGCTTATTCGAAGAGGGTGTGATTCAGCCTTATTTTCTATGGAAAGACATTTTACAAATGAGATAGAGCTATCTTGTAGCCTTTGCGGTAATTCTGACTATTCCATCTTCGTTCGCAGAAAGAACACTGCAAAAGTTTCAACTTTTACGTTAAAGGAAGTGTCGGGCTTATGTTACGATGCTTACAGACAATGGCATTTCACGCCACAGCCTCAATGGCGTTTCTTCTTGAGAAAACTCTTTTTGGTAGAAAAGCGTTTTTGCTTAATTCGTTTTTGGAAGGCATTTCGCAAGGCTTGAGACCATTGCTGATCTTCCAGCAAATATATAAATTAGCGCATGCAGAAAACATCTGTATCGAAAACTGGATGTTTTTCCAAATGGCAAAATATCATTAATCTGACAATAAATTGCGCTACAACTCGATGGCAATCGTGGCTGCGCTAGAGAAAGTAGCCTGATTAATTGTCTATTGTCTGCACAAAAGTTGCGTATTTTGTACACTATGCTGACGATGATCCACATATTTGGTGCAAGCCTGTCAAAAGTGCACATAGAATGTTTAGCTCAACTTTCTCGTCCAATTATCTTGCGAAATCATGTGGTGGTCTGTTTTCAGACGTCACAATCATTTCGCGTGGAAAAGTATTGTCGCCTGGTTTAGAAGAAAAGACTTATTTTGCCAAGACCAATGGCGGAAAGGTTAGTTTATCATCTAAATGCATGATTTTAGCGGCTGACCCAAACATTAAGGAGATTGCGGTCAAGATTTATCAGAAAACGTGTTTTGACAGCATCGTGCCATGGCATCACTACAAACTAAAAGGTGGGGTGTTATAGAATAATTTGAAATGATAGTTGTTGAAGTAAATTAATAATTAAGGCAATATGCACAGAGACACGCTGCACATAGTTGACTGCAAAAACATCTTCGAAAAAACAACCACAAAAAATCAATGCTAAGCGAATGAGGGCTCAACGATATTTTTCTGTCTATCTGGTTGGCATGGAATAAACGCTTCAACTCCTTTAATGGATGGAAAGGCTTTTCAGGTCTGATAATTTCCTCCCAATATCAGGCAACTCTGCTGCTAAGCCAAATGCAGCACATAATTTTCCGGTAGCACTAACGTCCACACTTCGCAGCAGGTCCACCTTACAGTGTTTAGGTCTATAAAAGTAGACTTAAGAAATCGAAAACTTCTCTCGTGGCAGAACACATGCTATACGTACTTCATCTATCATTAGAAGGCGCAGCTCAAAGGATTGGGATGCTCAATTCCATTAAAAACTTGCTCTAGGGTTCTAGCGCACATAGCTGTGCGTCGCAAGTGTTATCTAGAGATATCAATTCTGCTGAAGTTAGGCCCGTATCTAGGCATTCTTGCAAGGATCGAAACTCAGAGCAAAATTATATTAGGTTGTCCGGAAATTAACGTCCGTTTTGAATTTCAAATGCGATAAGTCAAACAGTTTTCATTTTTGAACAGGGATCAAAGCACCATTTGATAGAGCAAAGCAAGCTCTACAAGATGGCAATCTTGCTTTAGCAACAGCTCTGATCTACCTCGAATTTCGAGATAGAAACTAAGAGGATTTAACTGCCCGAAAAACCGAGAAAAATCATAACTAGGTCCATAGGAACCCTACAAAAATTCTAACTTGCTCACGTAAGCACTATCCACACAAGACATATATGTACGCCGTTGCCGTATTTTTTCCTCTGTTAGAAATGAAGAAAACGGAAATTTTCATGCTTTTGCCAAAGTGATGCTGTGCCGTCTCCACATAAGTAGATGTATACTACAAATCTGTAGAAATACAAACGTGGACTTTCAGCTTTTTAAAAGTTTTAGTTCTCGAGAAATTTGAATTTTAGCTTGGACCACCTGACTAATGAAAGCTATATGCGACATTTCTCGAGAAATAAAGCTTGTAGAGAGCCGAAAGTCCACGTTTATACTTCTACAGATTTGTATTATACATCTACTTAGGTGGGGACGGCACAGCAACACTTTGGCAAAAGCATGAAAATTTCCCTTTTCCTGATTTCTAACAGAGGAAAAAATACGGCAACGGCGTACATATATGTCTTATGTAGACAATGTTTACGTGAGCAAGTTAGAATTTTTGTAGTATTCTTATGAACTTAGTTATGATTTTTCTCGATTTTTAGGCAGTTGAATCCTCTTAGTTCCAATCGCGAAACTCGAGGTAGACCAGAGCTGTTGCTAAAGCAAGATTGCCATCTTGTAGAGCTTGCTTTGCTCTATCAAATGGTGCTTTGATGCCTGTTCAAGAATAAAAAGTGTTCGACTTATTGCATTTGGAATTCAAAACGGACATTAGTTTCCGGACAATCTAATAGCTTGTAGAACGGCTAGCGTGAAACAAAGTGAAGGTCTATCACAGATCTACACTCTGATTCTATAAAAAGCAATGAAGCCATTCTGTTCAAAGTTTCTTCAAAACAAGTTCATTAACGGAGGGCGATATGGACTATATCATGTTTTTATACTCTATATATCTAACAAGAGAATGGTCAGAAGTCGAAATGGCCAATCCAAACAAGTTTCATGCCATTAGATGCAGCCTAGAATGCTGACTCTGATTTTTTCCCCTTATCTGCCAAACACTTTTGCAAACGAAGCTACAAGCCATTATAAGTTGCCACATTGTTAAGAAGTCGTGGTGCGAAGTGCTAATTTGGCCTTACAGAACCACATTCGGCTAGGTACTGGGCCAAAACATGCACTAAATTACTTTGTAAGCCAGTAACTAATGAGGTAAAATGGCAGTAAGGGCATGTTGAATTCGCACTTTACGTACGATTTTATCGCAATAAAACTGCTTATAAGTTCGTTGACGAAGGCATTTAGCAGATATGGAAAACATGTATGAAGAAGTCAGCGTTTTATGTTTGATTGAAGTTGTTTCGAAAAAATTCTTTGACTATGGAAAGAAAGAGACTAGTTTTTAATTAGATGGCACTTTATGAATGCAATTTTACAGTTTTAGCTATTTGTCTTACATGCGATAGCCTAGTAGCTAGCGTACATTTAGTCTGCTTCATAATCCACATTCAAATCAAGGTGATTCTCTTGAATTCAACTTTTGAACGCATTACTATTGCAAAATGCTATAGTCAGATACAGGAAATTCGGAAAGATATTACCTAAAAATTGCCAAACATTTTTTGATACTTTTAGTCTGAGGAAGCATAGCCGGTGGCCGGTTGAGCAGTGGAGTAAAGTCGGACCTCGCAAAGCTGCTAGGAAATGCCGCAAATGTCCTTTGGATTTTTTGAATTTTCCTCCTTTGAAAAGTGAGAAAAGAACTTTATCGTTTTTCTGGCAGTGCTTGTACTGTGCACGCTACGAACGAGCAGATCTGAAATTGTTTTCCAGATCCTCAGCGACCAACCAAGTTTGAGTCAGAATTTTACTCTCAAGATTTGATATGTAATTTGATTACATTTCGAAGAGAAAGCTTTGCAGTCTATTCATACTTTCTAGAAAAAAATCCGACTATATCCACGGACGCAAAAATGAAGTGAAAGAAAATAGTGATAGTTATTTAGAAGGCACCAAAGTTCCGAAACCGAGATCTTCGGAAAACGGTTTCAGTTGACAGGAAAAGTAGCACTTGAGAGAAAAGATAAGAAAAAGTGATATAACGGCTCACGTTACCTGTAAAAGAGAAAGAGAAATTTAGTGGATAAAACTATATTTGGGATAAGCGTTGTATGTTGTACTTATTGGTACACCTGCTAAAAATAATCCGTCTTCTGACCAGTTCTTGTTAGCAATAAGACTGCACGCATATCCCTGCTGCAGAAGCGAGTGAAATCGGTTTTTAATGCAAGTGCCCTATTGGAACATAATGCGTTCTAACTCCGAAATATTGTCCTGCTTCTAAAAGAGCACCTATGATTGGTTCTACGGTAGAAATGAGTGTTGCATGGATAAATCACTTTGAGTAATCTGGGAGCCTGAATAATCTAGGCTTCTTAATGCGTCGCTGTGTGTAGAAAAAGCTGGATTTAGAGAGCGCAATGTTTAAAGCGAATTGGAGACTTTTGGTTCGACCACTATGAAGATTTGAACAGCTTGTCAAATCTTTCCATGAAAACATTTTAGAAAATACTGCCACTTGCTTCCGTTGCCGAAAATTTGCAGCGCAGCTAATCCCACATGAATGAATACAAAAATTCAGAAGAATGACATCATGTAGGCTCAGATTTTTTTTAGAAGGATAACACCCATATGGGCTCAAATTTTTTTATCATTAGAGCAGTCACCGAAGCTTTGCACATTTCTGTATGCTTGAGGTCTGGACATCATACCTACAATTTTTGCAGAAAAAAGTTAGACATTCAGTGCATGAAGAATAATTTTCATAGTTTAGGGCTTTCTGGCCCACCACACATAGTCTTAAAAAGTGAACAATTTGGGATTTCTATCTTTCCTTTTCGGAGGTCACCTTCGTTAAAGGTTTTTTTCTACACATACGTATACCACTGGCTTGCTCCTACAAAATAAGCTGACTAGCAGCCATAAGAACTAAGTTTGGAGGGAATTATAATCTCTCACAAACGAGGTTTTCAAAGGAACAACTTTCGACTTTGAACGCATGTTTTTCTTCCCGTCTGGATATCACTACAAGCAGGTGCCCATCAGGTTATGAAGGTTTACTGCTTCTGACGGTCTTGATTGCATTCAAAAATATGGAGACTGGACAAAATTATACTTTCAAAGTCAAACATTGCAAAACGGACATTATTTTTGCAGCAACGTAATAGATGGATTTTAGCCCATCAGTAATTTTTTGAATTATTAAAACATCTCAGAATAAATTCTGCAACAAAGTTGTAGGGCAAAAGCTATTATATTCCCTATTATGTGCCATAGATTACGTTCAATCATTTTTTGAAGGCTGTGACTTCTAAAAATCAGCCGCAGCGACAGCGACAGCAAGGTCATAGACTGTCTTGTTTTCCCACAAAACAAGGTGTCCCAAAAGTCTTCCTACTCTTTTATGGTTAATAACTTTCTTCCAGTAAGATCTTACAAACATATGGCGGCATTGTGTACAATTGGCTTTATCTTCGATAGTGGAGATTACGGAACCTCCAATATACAGTCGAATAATTTTATATCATCATATGCGCATTTACACTGTCCATCTTTAGCGTCCTGAATTTGGATTCTGGATCTGCAATCGTAAAAATGCTAGACTAACGATTGTTATCGTTAATTCCACTATGAGGTGATTAGTATCTAAAAAACATTGAAACACATTGAAAACACCTACCTGAAGTATCGTCACGTTATAAACTAGCGGCATTTTCAGAAAAATTCTAAAGGACTCTGAAAGCTGGTTGCATTTTTTTTACTCTTTTGCTCGAAATGAGTAAACATCTGCTTTCGTTGTTATACTTGCTAATCCTCTGATTCTAAAAAAGACATACTTTTGCTACGAGAAAAACATGGATTAAGGAAAAGAAAATTACTTACACTTTCAATGATAAGAAAAAAAGGTGATCGCAGTAATTCAGCGTTCCTTGGTGATCTATAGCCTACAAGGGCATACGCACAATCACGAATGATATATGGCGAAAGATCTCACTCATTCAAAAAGCGAGATCTTTCGCCATATATCATTCGTGCTAGTACAATCCCTTGGCTGCGGATTTCTGCACGAAAGGTGTTCAATACTTACTCTTGTTCTGTGAACATTCGCGCCCTGAAATCTTGTCGTGAACAAAAGTGTGAAAAAAAAGAATGAAGTGCTTCTCCGCAATTTCTCCATCCTTCAAGAACATCGATTTGTTTGCAGAATTTTGCAAAAAATCCTTCAAAACTGTGCATGAGTCATATGGCAGATAAGTTGACAATATTATTTCTCGGACAACCTAATACCAATGCCTAATACTGAACATTCCTTCATGATTAGGCAAACAATTCTTCAATATTATAAGGAAGGATGTATGTATATTATAAGATGTACATTCAGCTTTCACCAATCTCCACATCATTCGCGCCTGCAAACTTAGATGTTTGACCGATGAACGCAGCACTTTTCAAATGCTATCTTTGATTGTTTAAAAGATGTTCTTATTTATTTATTTGTGCACGTATGTGTGCTACAACAAAACTGAAAGTAAGAGCATAAAACTCAACGAAGTCAAGGGTTAGTAACATGTAACAGGCAAATGGACATCAGGTCCACCGCTAGAAATACAGGTAATATAAATCAGCCTCATTACCACTAGAACTGAAGCGTGGTTTCTCCAAGCGTAAATAATGATAAAAGTTTGCACACCAGTGGCCAAGTATGCGCTGGTGCGCCCTCAACACCAGATGGCATGTCTGGAGCCTTCGGAATGACAGGTATACCGACTGAACTGTCGAGGCTTACCAGTAAAAGAATACTATGGGCATAAGATGAAAAACTATCGGTGGGGTATCCACAGTGAAGTAAGAGCTGAGTAATGAGGTGAAGAAGTTAGAAAACATTTTGTTTAGATAGGTGGACACTGCGTCACGATCTCAACATATCTCAAAAAGAATCACGAAACATCCTCTAGATCAACCATCTGCAGAAGGTCGTAGTTTGGCTGAATTGTTTTGGCATAAAATCTCTGTAGGCAGGCAGTTTAGTAGGCGACAAGTACGACCAGCAAAGGAATATCGCAGCACTCGCTTGCGCCAACCCTTGGACCTAGGAACACATATATTTGAATTAGGTCTCCGAATCTGACAAGGACGAAAAGTCCAAAAATCAGAAAATTTAGACGCATCTCCTTTCGATATATCTTATGAGCCAATAAAATGTCAGCCAAAATTCGTCTGTAGTACAAACTTTTCAAGTCAAAGAACGCTAATCTGGTTTAATAATCAGGAATTGCTTCAGGATACTCCTTGCATGGGAATAGGCGATAAAACAAGATTTTAGTGAATGTCCGTTGAACTTTTTCTATCTCAATAGTATGTTTTTCCAAGCTGGGGTTTCAGATTGGACTAAAATACTCTAGTATAGAACGTAGGCCTTATATAAACTCATCAGATATCTTTATCAGTCTTGTTTGATAACTGTATTTTTGTCATTGAAACAAATCAGATAGGGCAAAAACACAATCACGCGATGACTCTCTGACTCAATGACGACCAGCTGCACACTTTTGACATTTTTTTTACAGCTTCTTCTAGTCAGTGCATTGCGACAAACCCAATAACTACCACGTTAACCCGCGTTAACCACTTAGCAGCGTCAAAATCGAAATGATGGGTGTCTCCAGTTCAGTCGAAATCAGATATTGACTATTTAGCAAGGTATAACTAGAGAGGGATGAGAAGTATAGAGAGGGAAGATAATAATAATACTAACAGTAATAAGAGCAGCCAAAGTAGCCTTCTCATACAGCTAGGGGGCAAGATCAGTAATTTTGTTCGCCATTCGATTAAAAAAAGTTGTTGAAGTAACTTGGAGGCTAGAATTCAGTGGGCATGCCTTTCACCACCATCTGAACGAAGTATGAATTAAGTTTGATAGAGTTTTCAAATTTGTGGCTTTAACGTCCTTTCTAAGGGAGCAAATCAGAAATTTGCAAATAATGTGTTTGATACTGAAATGGCCAACAGCTTCAAAGCCTGCATAAGAGCATTTCATTATTTCAACTGTTAATGACTGCAAGTTTCAAAATTTGCTTTAACCGCTAAACTTTTGGCATGCAAATGAAAAGAGATAATCATTTCTTTATATTTCTAAAAATGCGCCATCGAGACATAAAAATATCTTACGCATTTTTTAAATTCGTAATTTTGATTTTACTTCTAGATATCCAAAGAACACAAGGTTCAACTTAGAGACTGGATTGAATCACATTTTTCCGTATAGGGCACTCGAAAAATCGACGATGGCGCCGCACGCGACACGCATGCACTTCCGGCAACCGCGTTTTCTCGGTTTTCATCCCTGCTTGAATGGTTTTTCTGCTTGCACATGTTAGTATTTGGATAGGACTAAACATAGGTGATGCCTTTTTGAGTGAGTGTTTTGTGCTCCTGTGAGCGCAAAGACCGCAGTCAAATCCGTCGTCATAACGTTTGTAAAGTGATGAACCTTTTTTAGTCTTGTACACTTTTGAAGCGTGTAAAAAAAGAAGGTACATTTTTATTGAAGTTTTAGCTTTCTGATATGAAATGTTCATTTCGTCAATTTGACTTCCATTATTTATTTAGCAAGTGTATGATAAAAGGATTCTTTATACCGGATAGATTACCATCATTCGCTATCATTCAAACTCCTCAATGTATTGAGCTCTCTGTGTACGTCCAAGCTATGCTTGTAAGAATGGAAATGAACGGATATTTCTTGAGTTCCCATATCGGCAATTCTTAATAATAGATAAGCTGTTTGAGTTTCAAATTATCTGCTTCTATTGATGTGTTTGACTGATACGGAAATTCATTGTAAAGTCGGAAATCATTATTCTGCATCGTAAAATTGCATATTATTCCAGGAATCTTCAAAGCGAAAACATAATGAACTGCTCGTTCTTTCATCAAAAGTAAATTATAAGAAAACTACATGAAGGTAAGTGCATTTTTAAAGAGTTGTTCTGAACTAGCTTCAACTCAAGGTTCTAAAAATTTGACATAGGTGTATATGTAAGTCCGAGAAGGAAGAAACTAACAATAAATGATTGAAACAGTTGACGATTTTCCGAATTTACTAAATTGTGTATTCTATAAACAATGCAGCATTTCCTGCGGCAAAACTTTCTTATGAGGAATATCGGAACCACAGTGATTTCCAGACCCCGATTATATTGTTGTTAAGCTTTTCGAAGGCTCTCATTGTAAACTATATCTGATGAATTACATCTTTACTACAAAGCAAATAATGCACGAAACTTCAAAGGTGAAAACACCCTACTCCAGCACCAAGCAAAACAAAAAGCCAAAATTTTTTTGCATAGTGTATAATGAAACCTCTTATATCCCTCAACCATGCTAGAAAGAGCAAGTAGCAATAGAACTACTTCAAAGACACATTATGTGCATTCCAAACATGTGAAGATATACTTACACAAGTAGAAGGCTCATTTTCAAAAATACAATAACGAAGCATTCACGATGATTCGAAATTTCACCACTTTGCCAAAACTGTAGTGTAGATACTAAAGGATATTCGTTGACGACTGCCCCGATTCGTGCAATTACACCACCGTGGGCGTGCCGTTTTGGAGATTTCCAGCTTGACAGTACGTTGCAACGCGCGGCGACTCGCAACATTCCTGTCCTTTAACGTCTTTCGTTTGCCATCATTTTACATCGTTTTTCTCCATAGTTTTTGTTTCAGGCAGTTATTATTCCTAATTTCTATGTGAGACCATCGCCGCGGGCAAAATTGAGAGAAAGAATGAGCTTTCTTCGTAGTTGCAGTGGTGGAATCATGTCTATGATTGAAATTGCATGTTTTCGTCAATGTTTTATAATGACTTGACATGTTTCTTAGGACAAACAACTGAAGTAATGGTTACTTCAGCGCTCCTACATCGGGGATACCATGTGGGAGTGCTAAAATGAATGATTGAGTGTCTCATTTAAGAAAAACGCATGATGGCCACCACTGCTTCTAAACAAAGCACACCCTTTCACCTAATGTTGCCTGTGGCGATGGTTCAAAATCTTAAAAATGAAGGTTTGGTAGGTAAAAAAGGAGGGAAGTCCAGGGGGGAAGGCCAGGGAAGGCCTGAACCAATTTCTTCTCTACCTTTCAGTATTCATCAAAGCAGAAGGTATATGGTAATCGAGAGTACCTAAGGGAAAGGAAAAACAAATGGCTGCCTAAAGTGTAAAACCTAAGGAGGAAATTGATGCGAAATGCTTAAATCAACAAGAGAGGTTAAAGGACAGTGCTGCTGCCAGCTACTAAGTCCCCGCGCACTGCGAGTACTGTCAAGCTGGAAAGGCTCCAAAAAGTCAAGCCTACGGTGGTGTGATTGCACGAGTTGGGGCAGTCATCAACGAATATCCTTTATCAGTCACAATCAGCTAGTTCAAGAAGATACCTCAAAGCCATTTTTTCGAGTTCGAAAATAGCCTAATGAAAGTCGCTCAAGAAATTATTAGCCCAACTATGATGATTTTAGCGCTTTTCCTAAACAGAAAGATGTTGGCACAACACAGTGGCATGGTCACTGGAGCCGCAATATTCGCAAGGTACGGTATCATTGCAGGCTGATAGATGATGTTTCCTTACACATTTTGGACAAAGCTGACGTTTTACGAGAAGTATTGATGCTCTGTAGCTAAAAGGTAACGGCTTGCGACATAGATGGGTGTAGTGGGGACCGCGACATAAACTGCACAGATAATTTCTGCCATTATTGAGAGGTTTAGTTGCACGTTTAGCCTTGGAATTGTGTGCTGACGAACTACTGCTATAGTGGGTCTTCTGTTCAAGCTGAACATACTCAGCTGAAGAATCGCTCGGTAAAGACGAAAAGAGAGAACCAGTAGAACTCCAGGAATTTTCGCTACACATCTCATTTCCAGATTGTATGGACGTCGGACGACTGATCCTGCCAACTCTAGGTTCGACCAACTCATCCTGCAAATGGTCTCTATGCGCATCGGAAAAAATCTACTTATTACCAGAAACGCCTTCCAGTCAAAGCTATTCGGTGAGATGTACGTTTCTGAAGACAGTGTAATAAATGCTGACCTCTCAAATTTTTATTTGCGGAACGCCTTTCTGAAAAGGCATGAGAAACAAAAATTAAAAAACGCTTCTCGTAAAGGCTTTGGACATGCGCTTCAAAAATTAAACGTCCGCATTGCATTGAACTATTCCACTATGATAGTACATACTGCAGCGCTTATATAAATGTGGCTACCTATGTGTTTACATGTTTAAGCTTGCAATTTTTTTTGAAAAAGCGTTCTGCAGTTAAGGATTGCAGTCTTAAGTCAGCATGCATCACTGAATTTGGCAGTAGATATCTCATTTTGAACCACCTCAAATAAGGAGGGGTTTCTTGTTACTACTATACAAGATATTCATTCACCAACCGAAGAAGATAGATTTTGTGATATTGTTGAATGTGTGTCGGTAAAATCGGAAGAAGTCGAATGTTGTTCACGAGTTGCAAGAGTGGGTTCCATTTGATCTTTGACGAGATTGTCGGCTTCAGTGGCTTTACTTCTGAGAGCCATGTTCGATCTGGAACACAAACTGGCTAATCTGAGCGCAACCTTTAAATGCAGTCGTAAATTGAATTGAATAGGAGGTACCAATTGCTGATCCCGGACACACACACACACACACACACACACACACACACACACACACACACACACACACACACACACACACACACACACACACACACACACACACACACACACACACACACACACACACACACACACACACACACACACACACACACACACACACACACACACACACACACACACACACACACACACACACACACACACACACACACACACACACACACACACACACACACACACACACACACACACACACACACACACACACACACACACACACACACACACACACACACACACACACACACACACACACACACACACACACACACACACACACACACACACACACACACACACACACACACACACACACACACACACACACACACACACACACACACAGCCTTTTACATATGATAGGCACAACTCTAAAATGTGGTCTTTATGTAGTTTTATTGTAACTTCTCGTGATTTCTGACCACTGTCGTAAATCTACCGTTATCCTACTTGAGATACCAACGATGAAAATGTGTGCCACTATAGTATACATTACATATGATAGCAAGGAGCAGACTACATATTCTATTTGTTCCAAAATCTAAAAATGTCCAGTTGAGAGTGTCATGCGAAAATGCGACGCAAGGTTCAAAGCAAACTCTACCAAAAATTGCTTCACGATTTGAGACATATGAATTCAGCGATGGGGGCAGCGGGTACTGAAAGATGAAATTGATAAGATAAGTGATTAATTCAATGTGACTTTTTTCTCATATCACATTATATTCGATGACAAGTGAATCATGCATCACAAAAAATTTCACGGACGAGAAGCTTGCACATTTGACTCCCAAGCAAGCGCTCAGTGACTCACCGTGTTCCTCCCAAGACGGAAAAGGGGGTTGCTGGAAGTATTGAGCAGAGCTGATACGAGGTACAGGCAGCTTGAATATCTGAATTTATAGTTGAATACCTAGGCAAACCATACAGAAAATTACTCACATTTCCTTGATTGCGGTGAGCAGGCACTTCTCAATCTACAGTACAGTGGGCGTGATCAGCGAGATCTTTCGCCATATATCATTATTCCTAGAGCAATCACAGAATTGTTCAATGCTGTCAAACTGTTGCAGAGTGCTCAAGAAAAGCGAGAAACAGAAATGCAAGATTTCGAGGGCAATGTTCTGCAGCACGCGTTGAATGCATCGATTTGGCTGCAGAATGAGCGCAGAAAATTTTTTCGGGCTGCGGCGATGAATCAGACTTCATGGGTAATCATCACATTAACGGCAATGGCAATGCATTTTCGCATTGTACTTAGGCAGATGGAATATATCACGTAACATTGATAACTGATTATGCTTGATTTACACACGGTACCCAAGATCAGAAAAGTAAAAATTAGTCAAAGTAGTCAATTTTACATGCTATAATTCCGATGTCATGTCCTACTGATGTGGTAGTGTCAGACTAACTTTCAAAACTGAGTGCGGGTGTTATCTGAGAACATATTTCTTTCTTTCAATAACAGGTTTCTGTCTTGTGTTCACTACTTTTTTTTGCTTTTTAAATGAGTATTAATTGTGTTCTATGATTTGTCAAGGCGCACTTCCTGTGCAATAAATATAATATAATATATAATATAATATAACAGTGATGAAGCCAGAAGCCTTAAGATTTCGGGAGATTTGCTTGATTCAAGTCTATACCTACACAATAAAATAAGATTGAATGATTAACTTCTGAATCATTTTGCTTTTGTAATTTTGCTAGTTCTCCACAATGACACTAATAAGGGCTTCTCCCATACGGGCCTAAAAAAGCATTGCTTGGTTCTTTTTGATAGTCCTTATGGCTGCCAAAAATTTGCATTGAGCCCTAAAAGGAGATATTTGATATTTATTGCACATAAGTGCGCCATTTCAATCATAATGCATTAAGTGTAGACTATAAAAACAAAAGATCCAGTAGAATAGAAAAAAGACGTTGGAACAGAAATGGTAGGAAGAAGAACGTCAAAACATCAAGAAAGATCGACATACTTTAACTGCAATAATATGGCATCACGTAGTCTGAGTCCAATCTGGATAAAAGTATGATGAAGGCTTGTATTTGACTGCTCCATGATTATAATCATCGGAATAGAGTAATGTGATCCATGGAGATGGACCCATGCCCCCTTTCGCCAGCAAAATGATTTTGATAAACAAACAGCCAAAGTTTGCTGGTAGCTGTACTTTTTGACTTCACCAGACCAGTAAGCCAGGGTGAGCAATGATTCTAAGTGAATTGCAATAAGGGTTGTAGTGAGTGGGTAATTCATAAATGAGCGGAAGAAATCAAATTTGGTTGTTATCTGTGGAGAAGGCATCATGCCAACTCATTTGCCAGCAGAAGATGCCCTTGCACTAATAAAATAAGCAAAGCGGGGCTCGGTTGGTGAAGTAATATTGATCAACCTTGCCCAAATGATTCCGGGGAGAGTCCAATGACTCCGAAAAAATAACAAATAGTTTCACTTTTTATAATTTAATTAGAAGCAAGTCAACAAGCTATATTGATTGAAAAGAGAAGCAAACTGATCAGACCTGAACTAACGTGACGGCAATATTGGGTTACTAAGACATGAAAGAAATTAATATGGAAAAAAAGAGCAGAAATTGATGCTTGTATTTGGCATGCACGCCCTCCTATCTCCTTCACTGCATTGTGATTACGTAATAGATAATATAAAGCTTGTTCTAAAAAACGCTCAGTCAATAATAACTCTCTTGTTTCGATGTCTTTCGGCAAACTTTAGGGACCAGTAAAGTTCTGTAAAGCTGGACCCGTATTCATGAAACACAGGGTAGGCTTAACCCTGAGGGTTAAATCTAACCTTGAGGGTTAATTTTACCCCGAAAGCGACTAACCCGTATTCATCAACGAACCGTGAGGGTTAAACTAACCCTGGAAGGTTAAACTTACGTGATTCATCAGGGTTAATTTAACCCTAGCTCAGAGCAAGGTTAACTCTACCCTAGCACTTATTACAAACTTTTACTCGCATGTAGTTTTATAGAAAACGATTAACGAGTGTTGTAGTACTTAGTATAGTTGTTATAGTATCTAGTTTCAACTTCGTTTCGTGTTCAAATTCGAAGTATTGTCGACTCCCCAACTTTGGCGAGGCGGAGTCGTGATCTTCACCAAAGATCGATGGATCAGGTATGCCTTAGCACAGGGCAACCGCAACGCAAGGCACGCTAGCGCAGCTCCGCCTCGCCAAGGTTATGGAGCCGCTCATACATGAAACACTGACTTCGCAAGAAAAAAAAATCCTAGCTTGGTGACAAATGAATGCAACGAGGAAAAATGGTTGCGCATTCCACTCTGACAAGTGCCAAAACTGAAGAACCCCTTTATGATAACACGCACTGACAACTAAAAAAGTAGCATAAGCCCGGTATAAAACGAATTACGCAAAAGAACTTACACGGCACAATGCACACATGGAAATAAACTCACGCTGTAAGAGTGGATGCTGCACAAATATGCTAGAGATGTATTTTAAAAACTAGTGCTAGAAGCTTATTCGTTGATTATACTACTATAACAGTGAAGGAATAGAAGTATAAAGTAAATTTAGCGTACTTAGGCATTCTGTGATGTGAGTTCGCACAGCGCACGCATAACTGACGCCTTAACCCTCCAGGGTTAGTTTAACCCTCAGGGTTCATTGGCCGTATTCATCAACCATATGGTTCGTTGATGATTACGGCCACAGGTTCGTTGATCGATACGGGTAGATCGCGTTCCGTGGTAAACCCTAGCCTATGGTTGATGAATACGGCCAATGAACCCTGAGGGTTAAACTAACCCTGGAGGGTAAGCTTAACCCTCAGGGTTCGTTGATGAATACGGCCACAGAAAAGCCAAAAACTGACAGGCTACTCGGAGTTCCTGAATTCATATATGAAGTTTGCACGTTACTTGAAGTTCATAAGTTTTCCAGGTACACCGTAAGTACCGTCTTTGAAATATTCTTCGGAACTGCGAGCCACTAAAAAGCTCAGAAAGTTCTTACAAAGTGGTGTGTGGGTCAGCACGAATTGACTCTGCTACACAATGTTCTGGATTTTTTGAAATAAAATTTTGTCAGACGACTTATCAAACGATAATTTTGTATGCTAAAAGTTCTACGTTAACAAAAAGGGACAGATGATTTGCTACATACTTCAAATCTAAGTTGAAGCCAGCTCTGTAAAATGGTACCTAAAGTTCGGCGAAAGTCCTCAAAGCAAGACAGATATTAGCGATCAAACAGTGTGCACATTTTCTGGAGCACCCCCATATGTGTACCCCTCTGCTGAGAGACTGTAAAGAGAAAAAGTCAAAAGGTTTGTGAACTATAATTACAGCTCACAAATGCAAATGGAACAATTTCTATCTATAGTGTCAAAGGCTGTTGCTATCAGACTTGGCAAATTGTAGCAAAACTGCGAAGTGACAATGCAGTCAATCGTCTTTAGCAACAGCAAAGACAGAAAGCGAAGCGAGCCTTTCATTCAGAAGCCAAACTAATCGAAACATATGCATCGACGCGGTGATTCATCGCAATGACGGTTACCCGCACACTTGTGACGATTTTTCAACAATTTTTCTCGGCCGTGAAATTGCGATAAATCATATGACAAGGTTATTCCCTTGAAAAGTTAGATTTGAATATACAGGATAAAACTTGTGCACACTATGTGAGCTGCTCGATTACTATGATTGTTAACTCACTTGTCTTAAGTCTCAAGCCATTGGATTCACCATATTATGGAGCTGGTTTCCTTTGACTATAGATTTTCTACATATGGATAAAGCTGACTGTCTTGTTTGTAGTGCGTCTGTGTGCACGTCATTGTGTATTTACGAATGTACAAAAAAATTTCATTTTTGAATAGATCCTAAATCCAATATAAATCTCACATTATAGACGTAATGCCCCTGGGCAAACCAAGCCCTCTACCCTCCGGGGCCGGTAAATTGGTACCAGAGTAATCTGGGAGGATAAATGCACTGACTTGGAAACGGCTGGCCCCCGCAAGTCACTGTAATAGGCCTGCACGCTACAACTGCCTCTTCGACTATGAAGTTAGTGTGTGCGTTCGGCGCATGCCCTCAGAGGGTATTGAAGGCCGAATCCTTTATCCTTATTATAGACGTAATGTGCCTGTAATGTGCCTTTGCTATCGATCAATATTGAATTTATCGATTTTGCGCAAACCTTGAGCATCGGTGCTAAGAGCATGCACAAAAGATAACTGGTATGCTGTAAGAATGTAACAAACGTTTTAGATACATCCATTATTTTTATCGATTTTTTGCCGACTTTGTGCCATGGTTTGGAAGGTGAGACATGGGGGCAACTTAGCACGCTGATCTGTACGTTATGATCGCTCTTGAAAATATCTTTCACACCTATCGGTTTTATAGTTTTTTTGCAAAGTTTGAGGTAAGGGGTTGGGAGATGGTAGAGAGGGTAAGTGAGCATGCTAAATACGAAAACAATGTTAGATAGAGTTGTCGATTTCTTTTATCGATTCCGTCAATCTCGGGGGAGGGGGGGGGGGGAGTGACGGATAGTAAGCTGCCATAGAGTGGTCACGGACAAAGATATGTTTGTAGAAAAGAGAAAGAAGGTGAATCTTTACGTTATGTTTCGAGACCGAGCAAAACCGGGTGTTTCAGCAAGTGATACAAACTGAATAACTGACTACTCTGGCTCTACTGTAGCGCCACAGGGGGGTGGTGCAGGAGGAACCAAAGGGTTGTCGCCTGTATCCGCAGGAGATAATTAAGAGCGCGAGAGCTGTGGAGAATATTTTGGCGAGGATTTAAGAAAACTTGGCAAGGATATCGTTTAGGAACAAATTTTCGTAACTTTGCCTGGAGGTGACTTAAAAAATTTGAAAAACAGATTTTAAATGCAAATTGGAAGGCGCATTTACTGGGAGTAAAAGTATATAAGTGAAAATCTGGAATTGTAGTGGTTAGAAAAGTCAATTTTATTGTGGGAACTCTTTGTTCAAACGAATGAAGTTATAGATTGTTGAAGATCGG